TTTATATTTATAGATCACATGTTATGGTTATGTGACTTAATTTTGAAGCAAACTTGAAGCATATTGTTTCAATGAATAATACAAGGGCTTATAGGGTGGTTAACAGGTTGTAGATGAGTTGCTTATGGCTTTGAGATTGTATGTGTTCATAAGGAACAAGTGCAAAGCTCGAGGAGAGTGGATTTTGTGATTAAAGCCACTTTTCCAAAATGGCAATGTTACCTTTGTGCTAAAAATGGATTAATCACTTGGACAATGGCTCAAGCACTTGGATCATAGCTCAATCAGTTGTGTAGATAATTAATTATGGAGTGATTTTCAAGTTAGAAGCCTACAAAGCAAGATTTGTGCAATATGGCTTGAGATTTGATAAAGTGTTCTTCATGAAAATGCCTTGTAATTCAAGAATGGATGCTCAACTTCTTCTCTTCGATTCTCCTAGCTCAATCATGATCTCTTCGAGTTCTTGGACATTTTGGAAAGATTGAAACATTTTATTCAACATTCATGTTTACCATTTTGGCTAAATCATCTTTTAACTTGGTGAAAATTTGCCAAGAAGTTGGAACAAAAAATTTGCCTAACTTGATGAAAATTTCACTAAGCGTTTTTGATAAAAAAAATCATGACTTCATGGGCCTATATCTTCAAACTCAAACATGTTTTGGACATCAACCCTAAGGGAAAAAGTTGTATAATTCATCCATATATATAACTTTCATGTTGAAATTTTTCCTTGAATCATCTTGCGTCTTGGTGAAAAATTGTCATGAAGTAGTGAAATTATCAAGGTTAAAAAACACTTAGAATTTTTCTAAGTCTTTTAAATCTTGACTTTTTATTGACTTTTTTTGACACTGTTGATTCTTGTTGACCAAGTTTGATATTTTTGAATGTATTGATGATTCTTGATTTTTGAAATTCAGATTTGTCCAAAAAGTCAAAGTTTGACTTTTTGTGTATCAGTTAACTTTTCATCAGTTGATCCAAATTTCAACTATCAATCACTTGATCCTGAGAAATCATTTGAGCCATGAAATTCGGTCAATATGTTGTGTTTGAGTCCTTGAGATCATACCTCAAGCCATTAGGTCATGTACTAGGTCAAAAGTCAATGATCAGTCATTCTCAGTCAAAACCCTAATTTTGACAAATTTGCCCCTTTGATGATTTGAATGCTTTCATTGAGGAATTATGATCAACCCTTGGTCAATTAATAAATATCACTTCAAAATGTTGATGTTGACCAAAAGTCATGAAGCTTGACTGTATGTTGACCATAATTGACTTTTTATCCAATACGGCTAATTTTTAGTCATCTGAGCAATTGACTGAGCAAATTTGTGGTGCAAGACTTTAATTGTGGTATGAGCAATCTTGGAGACCTATAATGAACCATGAAAGTCACTTGAGGCATTATAAGTCTAAATTCCCTTAAGAAAACCAAAATCTTAATTTTGACCCAATGCTTAGGAGGTGAGCTTGTCTGATCAACCCTTGAGAATCCTTGAGCATTTGAGGTCTTTGGTGAGAAATGTCTCGAGAAAAGAGAGGGAAAATTTTGTGATACAACAGTCACATAGGATATTAATGCAATACTGAATCAATGCATGTGGTACCAAAATTTTATGAACACCTGGTTCATCACCCTCCATGATCTTCACCGTATGATTGATTCCCTCTTGGAATTGGAGCACATAACAAACACACTCAATCCTCACAATGGAATTGAGGCTTGTCACAAGCGGACCACCGTCCAAAAATGCTATGAAGATATGATGCCCAACAACGTCACATAAAGTTCAACCACAACTATTCAATTGCATCATCATTCACATAATCATCTTCACATAACATGTATACATACAGTTAAACATGCACATCATGAAACTCCAATTATCACAAATATCATTAAATACCAGCACCATATTAACATCATTAGAATACATCAAGTTACGTCATTTCAACAAGACATCATAGTATACCAACATATGATAATTCAAACTCATAAGTACATAAGCACGTGAATAATACACCAAATAATCCATACATTGCTACCATAAGATAACTTTGTGCGTTAGATTCTCAACACTTTGAACGACGCATCAAACAGAGTCCATAAAATCAAGTTATGACACTTTAAAGCTATACTTCCAAACTGCTCGCCTAAGCCTCATCTGACGACTATGGGGCACTCTACTCACCTTCCTCTCGCCTGATGCTCGTCCGACAAAATGCACAATTGGGCCCATCGCTACTTCGCTCGCCCGACAACGCTGGGGCGACGATTCCCTCCCATACATTTTCTAGGAGCTCACCTTTTCCACCACTCCCCTCGTCAGCTGGCTCGCACGATAATGCTGGGCGAATCGCTCGCCCCGTGCTCGCGTTTGGCTCGCCCGACGACACTAGTGAATCAACAACTTCTCAGTTACAATTTCGTTTCCGTCCAGACCATACCAATTTTGATTCTAGGAATCATACTCAGTCTAAAACGCATTAGAATCACCATACATCACATATTAACATCAAAACACGTCATTGCATCATTGTAGACAAAAATCATAGTACACAAACATCATCAACAAAAGTTTCTTCATGCATTTCATAAAATCAATCACACAAACAAAATCCTACATCTATCTTAACCCCCTATCAATCATAACAAACCCGATTACACCCCTTACCTCGAATTCATAGCAATTGATCTTTTTTTTCCGCGTTCTACGGAGTTCTCCTCTTGGTTCTCTGTGCCCTAGCTCTTAATTTGCGGTTTCTCTCAAATTCCACGATCGTATAAAAGGATCTATATTCCTCTTATTTTCTCTTTTTACCCATTGGACCCTTTTCTATGGTTTTTCTCTTATACCCTCACTTATCTCACACATTTACCACCATGCCCTTATTCTTCCTTTCACATTAATATACTATTTAATTATTATTTAAATCTAAATAATATAAACTGAATTATTACAATCTACATTATTCTAATTAGCACCTTAGTCTACCACTACCCCACAACATACCACACACATCACACAGATAATCACCAATAATTCATAAATAATCAATTAAATAATTAATTCTAAATTTTAGAGTGTTACACTAAATAAACCATTAGAATACTAAATTGTTATCTAATCACTCATATAATATTATTATCAAAACTCAAAATCAGATGCAGAACTAAATCTTATTCTTACAAATATTAGAGATTGAAAATAGGTCGGACCCGAATCTGTTCAAACTTTATTTAAATAAATCAGATTTAATTAAAAAAACAAGACCTAAATATATAATCTATTATCTCACAAAAGCTTTATTTTGAGTCTGACTTTTTTTAAAAGTATACTTGCTTTATTTTTCTATTTAAAAGTCATTTTTTATAGAGTATGCACATCTAATTTTTTAGCCTAATAATTTTTTTAATTTATTAATTCTTTTTTCTCATTTTTTCAACATGCTTAATGTATAGATAAACACATGTTATTTATGTGATAAAATTCAATTATAAAATTAAATATAAGGTGAAATATGTTTTTGATCCTTATAAATTTTTTAAATTTTATTTTTAATCTCTATTAAAAAAATGATAAATTTTGGTCCCTAAAAAATTTGTGTTCATTCTATTTTAGTCTTTGATATTTTTTAAAATTTTAAAAACTATTTAATTATTTTTAAACTTTTTGAAGGGTAGAATAACTATTTAATGATAACTCTTTTTATAAATAATTAGAATTTTATAAAAAAATTAATTAATTAATTAATTTTAGATTTTTTTTAAAGTTACAAATACTATTTAAAAAAAATAAAACTAGTTATTCTTTGTATTCTTTTTCAAATTTAATTATTATAAATAAATCAGCCATTCACTTTTAAATTTATTATATATATATATATATATATATATATATATATATATATATATATATATATATATATATATATATATATATATATATATATATATATATATATATATATATATATATATATATATATATATATATATATATATATATATATATATATATATATATATATATATATATATATATATATATATATATATATATATATATATATATATATATATATATATATATATATATATATATATATATATATATAAGAAAAAATTCATCTTTTATTTCTTCTTTTAAATACTATTGTTTTTTAAGTCATCTTTTAAAAATTCATCTTTTAAATATCTTTTGTACTAATTTAATGACTTTTCTTTACAATGTAATAATTATTCTTTATTATTTATCAATATGGATTTTTATAATAAAATTATATTTATAAAATATTAAGTTAATATATTAATTTTCAACAAAAAATCATAAAATTAATTATTCTTTAATTAATAAATATTTTCAAAAACTTAATAACAATAATAATATATTAAAATAAAAAGAAAATGATAAAAAATATTTTAAAATAAAATGAAACAATAAAAAAAATCTTTTTATATGGTTATAATAATTTAACAAGTGTTATTGGTTGATAATTTTATACTTTCAACTAATAAATAATATATATTCTACAAAATAATTTTACACTATTAATTAATAAAGACATATATTTTGTTAAATTACACACATATTATTAAAATATTAATATAATATGGCAAAATGATAGTTTTTATTGTAAAATTATATGATTAAACTCAATCTTTAATAAGATATTTAGATTATAAAATGTAGTTTCTCAATGAAAAGATAAAATATAGGTTGTCAAGAAAAAGAATAAAAATAGTGTGTAACATAAATACAAAAACGCATAGGACAAAAAAGTATTCAACCAAAATTAATTATTTATTAAGATATTAAAATTATAGAATAAATTTTGTAATAAAGAAAAAGATAAAATATAAGTTGTGAACAAAAAGAATAAAACAGTGTGCTAGATATAAACAGAAAAACGCATGCATTTTGATTTGGCTCTCAACACTCTCTCTTGAACAAACCTCTCTCTTTCATTTCTTACTCATTTCTTTGATGGCTTCTGCTGTTCCCGCCCAAACCATCGACGCCGATGAACTTCTGTTATGCTCGATTCTCCACCGAACCGACTTCGCTTTGCAGACAAACGCCAATCCTAACGTATGGGCGGAGGAAATCACCTCCATGCTTCACTCCTCCGCCGTCACTCTCCCCTCCGTCGAGCTTGCTCGCCGTCTAGTTTCTCATTTCTTTTGGAACTGTCACGGTCCTACCGCTTGGAAGATTCTTGATGTTGCTGCCTCCCGCAATATCATCCCTCCCTTGCTCCTCCTTGCTCTTCTCTCCACCAGGTCCTTCCACATTTCCGTTTCTTTTCTTTCTCTCTCTTTGTAATGTACTCTTTACGTTACTCTAATTAGCTTTTTTCTTCTTACTTTATTGCTCGGATCGTCGACCGCGCTGTAAATTTGTTATCAACTTTTATTATTATTAATATTCATATGACTGTATGATTGCAGGATTGTTTATTGTAGGAGACTTCAACCGATAGCTTACAAACTTTACTTGGAACTCGTTAAGCTACATGCGTTTACGCTTGAAACTCATTTCAATTCTCCTAACAACCAAATGTGAGATCCAACTCTTGTTAGATATGAAATTATTCACGTCTTTTTTTTATGTGATCAAATTGTGTTAAGTCTAATGTTTTATCTTTATTATTCTCATTCTTTAAACCAATAATCTTCTCAATTATGAAACACCGACACCTTTGAAAAAAGACACCGAGAGATGTCTTTTTGTTTAATTTTGTTTAATTTTTTATTTTTAAGAAAAAAATTATTATCCGTGTTTTTTGTCAGTGTCGACGTCGTTTTCGGGGTGTCTGTGCTTCATAGCTTCGAAATAAAGTGTTGAATTTCACTTATTGTTGGTTTATAATCATTCCAAAGAAATTCGATAGCCAGAAAATATATTTATTAGCTCTTCTTGAGTATATTTGCTATGGTGGATTTATAATAAATTAGTGTTGTGAGTTGCCGGTAGCAAATTGTTAAAATTTTGCTATGCAATGCTATAGCATCACGAGTATTTGAGGATATTTTATACTAGATAGCATATTGCAGAACAATAATGGTATATTGATAATATTTTGTATTCTCTCTGGTCCTATTTATAAAAGATAATTTATTTTTTAGATTCATTGAATATGTATCCGGTCTATTATTAAATTTAAATTAGATGCATTGATTATTGAATGAATCTAAAAATTAAACTGTCTTTTGTAAATAGGACCGGAGGGAGTACTAGATAGCATATCGCATAACAATAATGGTATATTGACAATATTATATACTAGATAGCATATCCCAGAAAAATAATGGTATATTAACAATATTTTGTACTAGATAGCATAGCATATCACAGAACAATAATGGTATATTATTTGACATTATTTTGTATTAGATAGCATATCGCAGAACAATAATGGTTTGTCCAAATTCTGCTATGCTATAGCACCACAAATATTTGACAATATTTTGAACTAGATAGCATATTGCAGAACAATAATGTTTTGTCCAAATTCAGCTACACTATAGTGGTACATTGAACATCGTCAATAATTCAAGAACTGGGATACGATTTTGTTAACTGTATTAGCTCTTGAATAAATTTTCTACCAGATGCTACCATTATCTCTTCCTAAAAGGCTCAAACCCTTCAATTTCAAGAACTGGGATACGATTTTAGAGGTTAATATGTTAGGTAGTATATTTTCTTAGTTTATAGGTAATAAACGTGGACTTTAGGCATTATCTTAAGGAAATATATTTAAAAAAAATGCATCTAGTGCATTGTTGGCAAAAGTAAGTTTGGATTTTCTTAAGATTTTACTGTTATAGGAGATAACTACATTTTATTTACTATAGTATATATATTCCGACTTGGTGACACTTGCTTTGGTGCTCGTCATTAGTAAATCTCATGCTTGTTGCATTCTTAAAAAACTAAATCTGAAATTTTACCATAAAGAGGACATAAACCTGCTCAAGTGGCTTCTCCATTTTTTAGTTTGTATTTTTCTTTGTTTCTCTCTATTGGGGATGGGGAGGGTTCCTTGTTATTTTGTATATGCGACTAATCCAATGTTTTCACAGGATTATGGAATCAATTGATGATGTTCTTAAGCTTTCTCAAATATACGGTCAAAAGGATTGTGAACCAGGAGTTGTTCTTGTGGAATTTGTCTTCTCAATTTTATCGCAGTTGCTTGAAGCATCTTTAGATGATGAAAGGTTATTATATAATATTCCAGAGATTAAGCCAAGATGGCTAAGCAACTCACATGATATGGATATTGATGTGCCTGACTGCAACAATAGAATGCATCGTGAGCAGAAGGAGTGGTTGCTGAGGGAAAATACAAAGTTGGCTATTGAGATCATTGTAGAATTTTTGCAGAATAAAATGACATCAAGGCTTCTTTCCTTAGTTCATCGAAACATGTAAGAACCTAATTCACATATACTTTGCTTCAAAGATGTAAACTGTCTGAATATTTATTTGAGCCAACCTCAATTTAGATTTTGGAACCTTCAATGAAGAATGCTATCTTTTGTAGGCCATTACACTGGGGATCTTTCAATTACCAAATGCAGTTGCTTGCATCAAACTCTTCACTTTTGAGGAATTTGAAACATAATGCAAACACCCTTTTATCTTTAATGGAAAATATCCGTGTGGGTGTATCTCATGAACGCAATACAAAATCTAAGCTGGAGTCTAATGTAGTAGTCACACCTACTGATCAATCTTATGGTAGTAGTTGGTCTTCACTCTGGCTTCCTATTGATCTTTTACTTGAAGATGCTTTGGATGGAGGGCAAGTAGCAGCTTTTAGTGCTATTGAAATTATTACTGGTATGAATATATGGTTGGTTTTTTATTTTATATCATAATGTTGGGGAAGTTCCTTCACAAATCAGAGAATCAAATTAAGCAGAAGAATAAAAGCCCATAAAATTAAAATTCAATAAACAAAACAGTGTTTTCTAAGTTGCCTACTTCACAAACATCTTTTGTTAAAATCCTCTCATAATAATCAATCAACTTCATAAGAATCTAATATAAACCCCAACCCCAAAAAACCCAAATATCACATCTTATGCACATATATTGTAGTATACCAGCCCTGTTTTTATAGCCGACAGCTTTCACATATAAATGTCTCCATCAAATTTTATTTTAAGTGGTGGAGGACGATAGCTATTAGCTTCCACATGCATGCTAAAAAAAAAGACCATAAATAGGTTTGAGACATGGGAAGATATTAAGCGATAGTGGAAATCGCGTAATCAAATATCTAGTAACAAATACAAGTGCTGTTATTACTTTCAGTTAAAAAATGCTGAGAAATAAATGCGAGTAGCGATATCAATTTATCCCATGTGAGGATGCAACATGCTCACTTGGAAAAAAATTCAAACAGCATCTTTTGAGGGGGAGTAGTAAATAATACTTCAAAATAGATACTTTTTTTTCTTCTTTTATCTTCTTTGTTTATTAACAAATCAATAGTATTTATTTGATATTCATATTGCAGGTTTGGTAAAGCTTTTACATTCAGTAAATGGCTCTAAGTGGCAAAATACATTTTTGGGTTTATGGACTGCAGCACTACGGTTGGTTCAAAGGGTAGGTATTGTTCAGCAAAAGGGAACGGAGAGCTAATGAATTCTCTATGAAAAATTACTTGATTGATTTATCCGTGTCTATGATATATAGTCAAGCATCAATGAGGAAAGACCGTGTTGCATATCATTTACAAATTACTTTGTCTGTGTAGCCACATGTAGTTTTATATTTAATTGATCAACTAATTCTTTATTACCCGTGTTATTTTAGGAAAGGGATTCAAAAGCAGGCCCTATACCTCGTCTTGATACCTGCATGTGTTTGCTGTTGAGCATTACAACCCATGTGGTTGCAAATATTGTTGAAGAAGAAGAAAGTGAGTTGATTGAAGAAGCTGAACGCGGCCCTTCAAATCAAGGAAAAAGTAAACAGGTTCTGGGGAAGCGTCGTGGGGAATTGATTACTAGTTTGCTGTTATTGGGTAATTCTCAGTGTTTGCTTATTCCACCTCAAACTGTTCTCATGGAAGCCAATCAAGCTGCTGCCAAGGCTACTAAGTTTGTATCACGAAACCCTGTGGGTAGTGGGTACGTAGAATCATTGACCATGGATGACTTGCCTACGAACTGCTGTGAGTAGTTTCTTTACTGTGCTAATAACCTGTAATTTCATGTTGTTTAAAGAATTTGCGCTTCTGATTAATATGTTGCCTTTTTATCAATATGTTTTAACTGAGGCAGTGCTAGGATATTGGGGTGAATTAAAGTTAAAATAATAAAAGGGATCTATGGAAAAAGAGAAAGTATGACAGGTTAATAAACTGTTTACAAATTTTTGGAATGAAGGGCAGTCAATTTTTGCTTTTTTAAACTCTCACATCCGCTCTTCTCACAATTTTAGTCCTAAATAACTTTGCTGGCTGCACTTTTACCCTTGCTACTATGAAATTAAATCATATTTTTATTTTCAAACGATGCTCTTTTTTCCTTTTTGTCCGACCACTTTCAAATTATAAATCTACTATTTCATAAAAGTCTGTGCATGTTTGTTTAAAGCCTCTTTGGTGTACAAGTGACACTGTCAATTTTTTCTCCTGCAGCTGGCAACTTACTGCATCTAATTGTTGAGGCATGTATTGCAAGAAATATACTCGACACATCAGCATATTTTTGGCCTGGCTATGTGAAGCCCCGCAGCAATCAAATTCCTTCCAGCATTTCTAACCATGTGGATGGCTGGTCTTCGTTGATGAAGGGATCACAGTTAACTCCTGGATTAGTTGATGTCTTAGTTGCAACTCCTGCTTCCAGGTAGGCTGATGACTTCTATCATTCCTATTCTGTATCACCGTCACTTGCCTGTTATAAATGGTTTTAGAAAGTGTTGTAATTGTATCTCTCTGTGTCGAATATCACACATGGTGTATATTTATATGCAAATAGGAAATATACAATAGGAAACAATATCAATTACACTAATTACTAATTGAATATCAATCAATACTAATTGATTGATAACCGGATTCTTAACACTCCCCCTCAAGCCAGATCGTATATATTGTATGATCCGAGCTTGTTACAAATATAATTCACTCGAGAACTCTTGAGAGACTTGGTAAACATATCAACCAATTGATCTTCAGATTTGACAAATTCTGTAGTTATTTCTCCTGACAATACCTTGTCTCTTACATAGTGACAGTTTATTTCTATGTGTTTGGTCCGTTAATGGAAAACTGGATTGGACGCAATGTGGAGTGCCGTTTGATTGTCGCATATGAGTTTTCTGGTCTGAAGGTCACTGAACTTAAGTTCTGAGAGCAAATTCTTAAGCCATGCAAGTTCTTTTGAGGCTGCTGCCATATCACAATATTCAGCTTCAGCACTAGATAGTGCAACGGTGTTTTGTTTCTTGCTCCTCCATGAGATCATATTTCCTCCAATAAGAACACAATATCCAGAAGTGGATCTCCTATCCGACGGTAATCCTGTCCTGTCTGCATCTGAATAACAAATGATTTTAGCATCACCCTTATCTTTATATAATAGGCCTCATCCTGGTGCATTCTTTATATATCTGAGAAGCTTGACGTTGGGATCCATAGGAGTATCAATCGGACGACAGTCAATCATACTAGTTTCAGTTAGGATGTCTAATGCATACTTACGCTGGTTAATTGCAATTCCTGATGAGGACTGAGCAACTTCAATACCTAAGAAGTATGTGAGTGGACCCAAATCTTTTGTTTGAAAGTTTTTGAAAATGTGAGTTTTGAGTCGCTGGATACCCTCTGTATTGTCTCCAATGATAACAATGTCATCAACATAAACCACAAGAAAAATATGCTGACCGGTGGAAGAGTGAAGGAAGAAAATAGAGTGATCAGCTTCACATCTAGTCATACCAAACTGTGTCAAGGCAGAGCTGAAGTGACCAAACCAAGCACGTAGAGACTGTTTCAGCCCATAAAGAGAGCGATGAAGCCGACAAACAAGTCTTGAATTACCAGGAACAGTAAAACCGGGAGGTTGATCCATATACACTTCCTCCTCCAATTCTCCGTGTAAGAAGGCATTTTTAATGTCCAACTGATGAAGCGACCAATGATTAATAGCAACCATTGCAAGGAAGAGACAGACTGAGCTAATCTTGGCCACTGGAGAAAAAGTGTCTCCATAATCAAGGCCAAATATCTACGTGTATCCCTTGGCCACCAAACGAGCTTTAAAATGATCAATCTGATCATCTGGTCCAACTTTCACTGTATAAACCCATCGACATCCCACTGTAGTTTTGTCTGAAGGCAAAGGAACAATGTCCCAAGTGTTATTTGAATGCAAGGCCGCCATTTCTTCCACCATCGCCTGACGCCAATTGGGATCAGTCATAACTTCACCTGTAGACTTAAGAATAGACACAAAATCCAAAGCAAACGCAAAAGAAGCATAGGAAGTAGAGAGACAATCATAATTTAAAAACCAAACATATTTAGGATTTGGATTATGAGATCAAATACCTTTTTGTAATGCTATTGGAAGGTCAAGTTCAGGTGACGTAGCTGGAGGAACAGTTGGAGTAGGGGATGGTGCTGGTGGATCAATATCATCTCTAACTGCCGATGGACACGAAGTGCGTCGCTGATATACCTGCAAAGGAGGTTTAATGGGAGTGGGGATGACAAAAGGGATATTTTGATCATCTAAATTACAAGTTTCATCGGGTGACGAAGAGACAGAGAAGAAAGAGGAACCTTCAAAGAATGTAACATCGGAGGAGACAATATACCGTTGAAGTTGAGGACAAAAACAACGATATCCCTTTTGTATACGTGAGTAGCCTAGAAAAATACATTTGAGAGATTTAGCGGAAAGTTTGTCTTTACCTGGACTAAGATCATGAGCAAAGCATGTGCAACCAAAAACGCGAAGGGGAACGGGGTAGAGATCATATTGCAGATTCAAGATAGAGTATGGAATCTGATCTTGAAGGACCAATGAAGGCATTCAGTTGATAAGGTGGCATGCGGTGAGGAGCGCATCACCCCAAAAATGAGAGGGTACATTGTGGTGAAGTAAAAGAGTCCGTGTGATTTCAACTAAATGACAATTTTTTCGTTCAACAACACCATTCTGTTGTGGTGTATGAGCACACGATGATTGGTCAATAATTTTCTGTAATGTTAAAAAAGATTGAAACTGGGATGACATATATTCACGAGCATTATCAGTGCGTAAAATTTTAATAGAACTGTTAGACTGGTTTTTAATTTCAGCATAAAACTCTTGGAAGATACGGAAAACATCTGAACGATTTTTCATTAGAAATAACCAAGTGCATCGTGAGTAATCATCGATGAAAGTTACAAAGTAATAGTATCCTAAAGTAGACTTCACACGACTAGGACCCCAAATATCAGAGTGAACTAAAGCAAAAGGTGATGCAACACTTTTATTTACTCGTTGACAATAAGTACTACGAGTATGTTTTCCTAATTGACAGGACTGACACTCAAAAGACGAAAGCTTAGAAAGATTAGGAACTAAAAGACACATTTTATTAAGACTAGGGTGACCCAAACGTTGATGTGTGGGTTCTAGAGAAGCAATAGAAGCACATGCCGCCGATGGAGAAAGATGATATAATCCTCCAACTTCACTCCCTGCTCCAATCGTCTGTCCTGTACATCGATCCTGGATATAAATAAAATTATCATTAAAAAAGACTGAACAATCAAGAGTACGAATAAGCTTGTGAACATATATTATATTAAAGGGACAACCAGGAATGTAAAGGTTAGACTCTAAAGACAAGTTTGGAAGTGGATGTGCCTAACCAAGGCCTTGAACTTTGATTTTAGAACCATCCGCCACAGTGACAGAAGGCAAAGAATCAGAATAAGACAAGTGAGATAAAAGAGATTTTTTACCAGTCATATGATCAGAGGCACCAAAGTCAAGGACCAAAGGACCAAGAGAAGATGTAGAGACAAAGGCTACAGGATTACCCGACTGAGCAACAGCGGCATATGATGATTGTTGATGGGCTGCTTTGTATTGAAGGAAATCATTGTAATCAGCGGCGAGAATAGTGACATCTTTAGAGATATCTGGTTGAGCGACGACAGTGATCCGTGGTTGTCGTTGTTGTTCTCTTGCCTTTGTACGACAATTGGCTTCAATGTGACTGTAACGATTGCAATAGTTACAACGAATACTCTGACGTCCACCCCGTCCTCCGGTTCGTCCACCACGACCATGATAGTGGAAAGCGAGAGCAGATGATTCAGTGGGAGAGGAAGTAGGAATCGGTCCAAAAGCATGAGGTGTAGCCAAGCGTAACAGTTGCTCACTAACTACTTCATAGTTAGGAACGTTGGTTCATGATAAAATCTGATTCCGAATGGAATCAAGTTCAGATGGCAGTCCAGCAAGTGCCATGACCATGAAATACTTTGTTGTTCAGCATAAGTTGTTGCATCTTTTGTAAAGGGCATTAAGGTTGTGAAATTTGCCTTTAACGCATCAAGCTTAGTCAGATAGCCTTGAATATCTATATTCTCCAATTTCAAAGAGCGGAGTTTGGTGATGACACTGTAAAGGTTATGGACATCATTTGAGAAGACTTTCTTAGCCTTTTCCCAAACCTCGTAGCAAGTGGTATAGGCTTGGTACTGTGCTTGGAGATTAGTTGCTATGGAAAACCATAACACAGTGCATAGAGAAGCATCGGTTTGTTTCCGCTTATCGCGTTTGGTGGCGAGAATAATATCAACTTTTGTAGTTAAGTGATCCTCATATCCCTGACCATGAAACCACATCTTGACAGCACCAGCCCATATGTTGTAGTTGGTTGTTCCTCAGTTTCTCACACGGAATAAGTGGAACTTTAGTGAACGTGACGGAATCGGTATCTCCCATGATATTTTATGACTCGGAACGAAAAAACTGAGAGCAAATTTGGAAAGAGGAGCGAAAACCGAGACAGGCGAGAAAAACGGCGGCAGCGGGGGGCGGCGGATGCGCTGCTGGAAGTCTGGCGCGTGAGATTCACGCGCAAATGAAGAAGAGGCGCGTGCGGCGGCGGAAGGCGGTGACATTTTTGGAATCTGGTCGATCTGGAGGAGACGATTCCGGCGGTATAGAAATCTCGTCGGAAAGTCTAGAGGAGTGGCGGAGACGGTGGCGGCAGTGGGTGGCTGGAAAAAAAAGGAAATTTTTTTTTTGTGACAGACATTAGATCAACCAGCTCTAGATATCATGTTGTAATTGTATCTCTGTGTGTCGAATATGATCACACATGGTGTATATTTATATGCAAATAAGAAATATACAATAGGAAACAATATCAATTACACTAATTATTAATTGAATATCAATCAATACTAATTGATTGATAACAAATTCTTAACAGAAAGAAAAGATTTGGGGAAGGTGATTGATTACTATCTAAGTAGTTAGCAATAAGGAGCTAATATCCCGAATGCTGTTTTTTTCAATAGTGGTGACCTAGGATATTAGCTCCTTATTGCTAACTACTTCATATGCTCCATTGCTCTCTTTATAGCTTGATTTTGTTTCTACTACTACTACTCACGATTTCATATATGGCTTTAAACCATTTACTTTGAATTTCGTTATTCTGCCAGCAAATCATGAAAAACCTTGTTTTTTCCCATTCATGCTTGACCTAAATACTGTTAGTACATTGTTCAGCGGTAGGATTATTTCATGTAGTTTTATTTGTAATTTTTCTTTAATTACTTTGGGGGTTGAGGATCTAACAATTGACTTGTTGATATTATCACTCTTTAAGGCTGTTACATTTTCTTTTTAAAATAAGGCTCCAAAATGTGTTAAAGAGAAGGAACCACAAAAAGAGGGGGACTAGGCCAAGATCCACTCAGACTGAAATGAACCTAAAAAAAAAGGCAAACCAAGTCTATATTTTACAAAGTCATTCCTAATATCCAAAGGAATGAAGTAAAAAATGTGAGAGAATTAGAGGTGAGACCTATATTTGCAAAGTAATCCGCACAACTATTTTCTTCTTTATATACGTGTGAAATAAAAAAGGACATATGTTCAATGGCTGAAATGCAAGAGCTCCATCGATTTCTTAGTTGCCAAGGCATCATACTAGATTTCGAAAAGGCTTGAACAACCAGAAGAGAATCAGTTTTAACCCAAAGTTTAGGCCACGATCTATCCCTAGCTATCTCTATAGCTCTAAGGAATGCACTAAATCCAGCAAGAAAGGAACATATCCAAGTGATAGGTTCAGCAAATGCAAATAAGAAATCACCTTTACTGTTCCTGAAAATCCCACCACAACTTGATGTGGGAGGGTCTTGAGTGAAAGCACCATCACAATTCTACTTAAGACAATCAAGAATTGGAGGATTCCAAATAACCTCCTTGATTAGGGGAGCCCTTGGAGGGTGGATATTAACTTTAAAGGCTTTAATGATCTTGAAACCATGCATGGAGGTAGATGTTAGAAGTGAATGATTGCTTGACATTGCCACTCGAGACATGATTTTGTGAACCGAAGACTTGGAGTCCCACTGTTAAATCTTGCCATGTTTCTAGTGCTCCAACTAGAATTCAAAAGAAAAATAATAGCTGACTTGACCACCAAGTAACTTTGGGGAGACCTCCCTCATTGCATAAGGTCATCAAAGGTGTTGAAACTTATGGTAGCAGCCACAGTTTTCTTGAGCCATAACCGTAGCTGCCTAGCAAAATTGCAGTCGAAGAAATTATGTTTAGTGGATTCGTTGTAGCATTTACAAAGACTGCAAGCTGAGGCCATTGAGCAACCTCTAAGTTGGAGCATAGCATCCGTTGGCATTTTATCTTGAATTACTCTCTAAACCATGCAAGACTTGGATGGGGGAATATCAGTGCACCAGATGTGCTTAGCCCAGACAATAGCAATAGACAGAGGGGACTTAAAAACAAAAGCATCTTTGAGGGTTAACTCCCCAAGTTCTAAGACTGACTTTGAGCATTTGAAGCTTTTTGGACAGGATGTCCATTGGACACCCTATCACAGGTTGGGAACAACAATTGGCAATGAAGTCCCTGCATTGATCATGCAAAGTCCACATGCTAAGGAACTTAAATTGAGACTTGAATTTGTTGAAACTGTGGATAGATTCAAATAAAATAGGAAAGTGATCGGATCTTAATCAAGGAAGGGCTGAAACAATGGCAGAAGAGGAAGCATTAAACCAGCTTTGAGTCAAAAATCTCTATCTAAGCTTCTTTCAACCAAACTGCCACCAAGCCTGCCATTGAACCAGGTGAAGAAAGCGCCTTTGGTGGGTAATTCCACAAGGTTATTTTGATCAGAACAAAGAAAAAAATTTCCATGTTGTAGTCTTGTAGGAAGTGTGAATTCCCCTATGTTCACGAGCTTCAAGAATGGAGTTGAAATCTCCAATGAAGCTCCAAGAAACATCATAACTAGCTTGGAGAATAACATGATCTTCCAAAGGTTTCTTCTACTGAGGTGATAGGTTGAGGCATAACATGATCTTCCAAAGGTTTCTTCTACTGAGGTGATAGGTTGAGGCATAAATAGCATCAACTCCAAAGGAAATGGAGTTTAGGTCAACTGGGAAAGCAACTTGTTGATTAGAGGAGGAAATCACTTGAGGGGAACCCCGCTTGTTGCAAATGCACCATAAGTTAGGTAACATGTTGGGTCTGGAGTTCATGGCAAACATCCTTAAGCCTAAGGAGTCGAAAAAATTGGATGGAAAATTATCAACATTCATCCAAAGTTCAGCCAAAAAACATAAATCTGGTTTTTGAGATTTTAAAAGATTTTTAAGAACCAATCTAGTGGGAGCTTTGGTCAACCCCCTAGCATTCCAAAAAATGCTCTTCATAAGGAAATTGTTCTTGATACCGAATTTTGATCTGGCTGATTACTCTGTTCTTGATCTAGCTTTGTGCCTAAGCTTTTTCTTTTGGGACTTTGACAAAGCATGTTGGAATTTCATAAATTCTGCATTAACATCCATTTCTAAGCTTTTTCTTCTGGGACTTTGACAAAGCATGTTGGAATTTCATAAATTCTGCATTAACATCCATTTCTTCCTCTGAAAAGACTTTTGTGTCATTCTTTTCTGCAATATTATTCCAAGAGTTTTGAAGGAAGATCTTGTTTTCCTTTTGAGACTTGAGTTTCAATGCTATTCTCCTGCTCAATTGTTTGTGTGGCATCCACAAACTCTGACTCATCTGAACTATTGGTGTCCACATTAACAAGCTCATGATCAATGACTCTAGTGCCTGAGTCATTCCCACCTTCAATGAGTGCATTCGGATTATAATCATGGTTGTTTGTAACGGCAGGTTGCCTTTTACTAGATTTTGATTGCTCCTCTAGATTTTTTCCTTTAGCTGCAGTAGCTGCCCTAGGGCCATTGTCGTCCTTCCCTGAAAAAGAGACATCAGGTCAAACCATTGGATTATCCCCTTTTAAATCAGACTGTTATGATTTTCCATTGACTGGAACAAATATTTGCTTAGCAATTCCTCTTTGAGCCCCCTTGATCTTATTAGATTTTGCCGATGGATTACTTCTGTTGCAAGACTCGAACGAGTGTCCAATGTAGTTACAAAAATTTCAAAATTCAGGTATTTTTTCGTACTCTAGCTCAACAAAGAAAACAAAACCTATTCTTTTTATTAAAATGTGGTTGGGCCTAATTCAACCCTACAAAACCGGCTTGTAGGGTGAGGATTGCCCCCACTTATAAACACATGTTCAGGCCATATATTGTCCGATGTGGGACTCTTAACACACCCCCTCACGCCCAGGACTAGACAACTGGAGCGTGGAAATAAATGGTGGATGGCCCACTGGATCTTAAACGAGGCTCTGATACCATATTAAGATGTGGTTGGGCCTAATTCAACCCTACAAAACCGGCTTGTAGGGTGAGGATCGCCCCCACTTATAAACACATGTTCAGGCCATATATTGTCCGATGTGGGACTCTTAACACTTTTAACCAAGACTTTGTACCCGAACTCCTTAGTTATGTCTAAATCAACCAGAACTCTAACAAAATGACCAAAAACTCTTTCAAAGGATGGCTTGTTAGAGGCAGAGTCTATGCAGACGGGTGTCCCAATGCTAGTGGCTAGCAAACAAAATTTTAGGTCTCCATTATTCCTGCGAGAGGCCATGAGTTCAAACCCAAACTTGACCTGAAGTTTGGTGAATGGAAGAAGACACAGTCTCTTGACCAAGGGAAAAGCTTAAGAAGTCCAGGACTTACATTCCAAGATTGAACAGACCTTACACGCCTAACATCTTCAAGGGAAGAGAAAGAAAACTTGAAATAACCCTTTGCCAAGCGATGTTAAACCACATTTGTCAATAGAGATCCAAAGAGACAAAATCTTGAGACGCAAGTTATCTCTAGTAAGAGGGGTAGAACCCTTGGGCCAGATTACCCTACCATGAAGGTTATGTTTGCACGCCTCTACACCAAGTAGGTATTCATCTTCGGGGATCGAGATGGAAAGCCTATCACCCTTGACGCACGGTTTTGGAAGATGACTTAGTGGGATGTTGCACACATTGTTGACTGCCTCTGCAAAAGACTTAACAATCTTTGGCTTTTCTGAATTTTTGGGCATAGAAATAGGAGTGTTTATGATGATTTCAGGAAATAGAAGAGAGATTTCAGAGCAATCCACGCTCACGAAGAAGATGAACAGTAGCTAGGTCAGCAGTAGAAATTTTTGCTAGAGCATCCAAAGCAAATTGTAGCTCCTAAATTTTTTTACCATTTCTCGATTTCAGGTTGTTACATGGAAAATATATCTAATTTTTTTAAAAGAGCTTCTTCTCTTAAACTGATTGTTAAGATCTGAAGATAAGGCTCCATTCATATTTCATTCTTTATTATCCGCCTGTTTTATCAATAGATATATGCAGCCTTATTTTCATCAGCAGCAAGGCTGTTTTCTGTGACTAGAACCCATGATCAATTGGCCACAAAGCAGCGATCTTAGTGTTGCCCCAGTGTCCGTCGTCACCATTTCTTTTATTTCTTTTTAAATAGTGTATAGAATCCTTACATAGCATTAAATATATTAATTCTTCAATCAATTTTATCATCTCTTTATTTGTCATTCACAAACATGCACTCATTGGCAAGCATATAGGTGTATTTTCTGCTTTCAATGTAAATTAAATATAAAGTATATAAAAAACACTATATTATAGTAATACTTAAAAGAATATGTAAAATGTGTGAAGGTAATAGTTGTGGTATGTAAAATATATAATCCACAATAAATATGAAAATAACAAATGTATTCGATATAATATGAAAGGCTGCTGTATCATTTTCTTAATAAAACTGGGCTAAGTTAGTACCTAACCATAGCTCCTGGATCAAAAGACAATTCATCTAGAAAAGAAATGAGATTCTTGTTTTCTAGACAAAATGTAGATTTATAATTTAGATACGAGACACACACACACATGACATAGACTTCTGGTATTTGAACTGGGCAGCTGTCTCGTTAATGATAGTATTGCCCAGTGACAACAGATACACTCTTCTTTTTTGAAGCTGGACATATTAGATTCTCTTATTTGAAAATTCAGAAGGTAAGGCAACTGAATTTAAGTTCATGAATTTGATGAAAGCTTAGCGGAGATTGAAAAGATATATGAAATTGCAATCAGTGGTTCAGACGAAGAGAAGATATCTGCTGCTACCATTCTGTGTGGGGCATCTCTAGTACGTGGATGGAATATACAGGTAATCCTAATACTTTGGCTACAGAAAGACTACAACTGTTTTCTTGCTTAGTTCTATTATAATTGTGAATTAGAGCAAAAGTGTGAGAAAAGATGACAAAAGGACAGAAAATGTATAAAGAGAATTTAAGAGAAACTTAAGTTTAATCCTAACTATCTTTTTGATCCATAACAAGAAAAAATGACTATCTTTCTGAATATTAACAATAAAGAAGCCGTGCCTTTACATTTTTAGATGTCCTGATACAAGCGAGACTAGTATTCTGTTACAGCGTATGAAGCACAAACACTTCAGGGATTAGACGAATCTCTGTGTCGAATATATTTCAATGTCTGATACCCATACAATATATGTATGACAACTGAGACAACTGTCTCCAAAAAAGCTTTTTTATTTGCTTCAATACACCTTGGACACTCCTCGGACACATCTACAATAACAATTGACACTTGCTCCAACTTTTAATTAGGCATTTGAAAATTTCTCACATATGCATGTTTTTTCACACACACAATACTTTTTTTTATCTTCTGCAATGTTCAATTATGATAATGAGGGAGTTAAAGACCTTAAATTTGAATGCTTCATTTTTACCTTTTCGGAAGTAAATGAATGAAGGTGATTAGTATATCTTGTTTTAGATTTTTTTATAATGAAACATATTTAGATGCACATATAAGGTTTGGTTCACAATTTAGATCTTCATAAATGATGTTCATGTTTTATTTACTGATAATATGTGTCAGTGTCATGTGTTTTTTACATTAGTGGTATCAACAAGTCCAAAGACACAGTTTCCAGTAGTAGATAGTCTGTCATCGAGATCCGCAGCTCAATCTGCATGTCAGAGGAAAAGATTGTTCTAGTAACGTTGATTTGAGCAAAAGGCCGTGACTTGTACCTTTAATGTACTTAAGAGTTCTCTTAACCATTTTCAAGTGCTCTTCTAAGGTTTGAGAGAGGAATCGATAAGCCTTGTTCATAAGATAGGAGTTTTTAGCCCATGGCCTAGTCATTGTAGCATACACCTAATCATAGAGAAAGTAGGATTATCAGCCTAATCAGCCTCATCCTTGAAGGTTGCTGTTAGGAACCCAAGAATTGGATTCCAAAGAAATAACAATTGTAAGGGTTGAGTTTGGCCCAATCCAAGTTTTAAAACGGTTCAACTAAATGCTAGCTATAACATGAAATTTAACAAACTTAAACAGAAAGGCTTAGAGATATTATTCGGTTCACCAGACTGCCAGTTTGACCTAACAAGTTCTTTAGCTTCTTTGGTGGCTCCAGTCCTGACCCCTTCTTTAAATTGTCTTTTATTTTCTTTAAGGTTAATGTTGTTATCTTTGTTTACAGGAACACAGTATTCTTTTTATCACAATGTTGCTCACACCTGTTGGTCTGCCTAATCACACTGAGACCGAAAGCCATTTGATCAGCCTAGCTCCATTTCTAAATGTCCTACTTGTAGGAATTTCATCTATAGACTGTGTTCATATTTTCTCCCTGCATGGTTTGGTATGTTCTATTTATCAGTCCTTGACTTAAACATGTAATTGCCAACAACCTTCTTTTCTTCATTTTTTAAGGTGTTTGTTTTGCAGTCTAGGAAGGCTCTTCAATTAATTAAGTTTTTTAAGTTTAGAGAATTTCTTAAAAAAAAATGATGGGGAAGGGGTGTTGTGCCAGAAAACTAACTGATGGTGCATGTACTTTATTTCCTGATGCTGATATAGCTACGGTTTTTCATTTCAGGTTCCGTTACTTGCGGCAGGGCTAATGCTATTATGTGAGGTTTTTGGCTCACGTGTTCCTGATGTCACATGGACTGTCACAGCCGCAGAACAACTCTCTTATCATGAGGTGTTCTCTAATGCATTTACTCTTTTGCTTAGATTCTGGCGGTTCGATATTTTACCCATTGAACAAGTAAGGACCAATGCAGCAGATCCACCACTTGGATCTCTATTTAGTCCGGAATACCTTTTATTGGTTCGAAACTGTAGAGTAGCAGCATTTGGAAGATCAACAAAGGATATTCTAAAGCTCAAAAGACTGTCAAAAATTATTATGAACTATCCTAAGGAATCTGTATTTATGAATTCCTTTCCAAAACTATACTTTTGGTATAAGCAACACCAAAAGTGCATTGCTTCTATTCGCTCTGGTCTTGTGCCAGGAGGGCCTGTTCATCAGATTGTTGGCGCTTTACTAAGCATGATGTTTTTGAAGCTACATGATGGTTCCGAATCTTTGAAACCTGCGACCTTGGGAAAAAGCAGTTCATCTGGATCTGGGTCTACATTGGATGATGCTTTAATGAAACTAAAAGTGCCTGCCTGGGATATCCTGGAAGCCATTCCCTATGTGCTGGATGCTTCTCTTAATGCTTGTGCGCACGGAAGAATCTCTAGCCGTGAATTGTCAACAGGTTTGCCTTGTTACCTGTTTTTAACTTGAATTATATTGAGTTAGTTAGGATTATAATGAGGGATTGATGCTTTGAAATGTACGATTATCACAAAATGTGGGGTGAGGACGTTTAGATTGGAGTACAGATGTAAAGCTCAAAATGAATTTCTAGGTAGAAAAGGGAGGCATTTTGGTCCTGTTATCTTTCACTCTCTACTTGGCTTATTTTAAACATAAAATTGCCAAACCAGTTTACAGAATAATAAAACTAAAAATGTGTTGGAAGCAGTGTCTTTTAATTAGTTTCAAAGTTCAATTTACTACCCAATGGGTTTTATTCAACAGTGTTTTGATTTTGGACGCATCTATTTGTAGTATAATTGGAAATTGGGAATATTTTAAGTCAACACCACATGCATCTGGATGACTAGTCCCCCAAGGTAGCTGAGATCTATTTAAGGAGTTGAGCTCTTCTAACCTATGTTATTTTATATGCACCGGCCAAAGATCAAACTGAATCAAATGGCTAAGAGATTGTATCACACCACCATGTTGCTTCACCTTTTTCTAACTTTGGGTTGAACACTAACCCTTGTTCAGCTGGATTACTTACGGCATGAAGGAGTACATTAAAATCGTGACGTGTATTATGAACTGTACCAATATAAGTAGAAATAAAGCCATGTATCTTCGAATTGATGATAGTCATCAATCAGTAACAAACTTCATAGAGACCTTGTGTCATTAATGTAAAGTTTCTAAGCCCAACTGTCAAGGAGAGAAGTGACAGATGATTTTGAAGGTATGATAATTATCTGAGCACGCCATTGCTGCCAAGGAGGGAGAATGTGCAAATGGATGAAAAAAGGGGCTGATTGAACAGGAACACTATTTCCGTGGATCAAAACTTGAGAGTGAGTGCAATGCGCAGAGATATGGGCAATGCGTGTGGAGGCGGCTGACAACGAGTTTCTAGGGATGGGCCAATCTGAAGGGGACGAGACCGATGGTGGTGGTCACTCGCCGAAAAGCTCGCAAGAGATAGTGATTGCGGCGGCAGCAGTGGCGGATGCGGCCGGAAAGCAATAGAAATGAGTGTTGGGATAGGTAACGGCATTGGAGATATGCTGAACCCTTGCATCACGAAAATTCTACGCAATTATTAGTATATTTGAGAAATGAATACACAAACATTCTACAAGATGTTAAGAGTATATTTACAAACTATATCCGTATTATCTAAATAATATTTAATTATTAACAACTCTTTCATGATTAAAGTTATGTCACCACATTGAGGTGTTGCCCACTATAATTGACCAACAATGGAATTACGGACTTTTTGCGGACCAGGATTTACTGTTGTTACTGCTTGGTGTGGTTGTCTATAAGCCATTGGATGTGCTTTCTTTAATTCATACCTTTGATCTATTTTGATATTTTTTATATAAAAAATGCAAGCTGGAAAGAGAGAGAAAGAGAGGAGAATGCAGGGAATCTAATATGTCCCACAAGCCGGTGAATCTACAAAATTGCTGTTGTAATGAGTTGAATTTTGAGTATAATTCACCCCATTACAAACTTGGTCATAGATAACCATGATGCCTCTTTATTACCGATGGAATGTTTTTTTCCTTAAAATTTGTCCTGCTATTGAATCCACATGTTTGTCAAAGTTATACTGGATTATTAATACCGATTCTTATACTTGTTTGGGTTGGTAGCTGTATAATTTGACTTCTGTACTTTTTTTGTCTAAGGCATCAAAGATCTAGCCGATTTTATACCAGCATCTTTAGTTGCCATTGCAAGCTACTTTTCAGCCGAAGTTACAAGGGGCATATGGAAGCCAGCTTTCATGAATGGAGTTGATTGGCCTAACCCTGCTGCAAATTTATCCATTGTTGAGCAACAGATAAAGAAAACTTTAGCAGACACGGGTGTTAATGTACCAAGCCTTGATATTGGTAATTGATCGTCACTATTACATATGTTTATAAAATAACTTAAATGACATTGTTACAAAGATCCATATGCTTAAAGAGGTTTGTCTTTGACGGATAAATCAACTAGCTGTATTTTTATGCACTCATGCAGGCAATTATGCTTGTGTTGGACTAATTTTGGATTTATTTTTGTTATTGTTATTGTATATTGAAATAGTAGGTTTCCATTATATTGACAGTATTCTAAATTCCCTGTAAACAGATGGAGACTCTCCAGCTGAACTTCCTTTGCCTTTGGCAGCTTTCGTAAGCCTGTCAATAACATACAAATTTGACAAAGGCAGAGGGAGATTCCTTATGCTGATTGCCCCAGTTCTTACCGCCGTTGCTTCTGGTTGCCCCTGGCCTTGCATGCCCGTATTAACTTCTCTGTGGACCCAAAAGATGATGCGTTGGAGTGATTACTTTGTGCTCCGTGCTTCCGGAACTGTCTTCCAGCACAATAGAGATGCTGTAGTTCAACTGCTAAAAAGTTGCTTCAAATCCACTCTTGGATTTGGCACTACATCTATGAGTGATGATGGTGGTGTTGGTGCCCTTCTTGGTCATGGCCTTCCTTTCCAAGTAGCCAGTGGGGTTTCTCCAGTTGCTCCAGGGATTCTTTACTTAAGAGTGTACCGGTCTATTGGAGATATCTCATTTTTGAACAAAGAAATCATGTCCATTCTAATGCTTTCAGTTAGAGACTTGGTAAGTGGCGAGTTATCTAAAGGCAATATAGAGAAAACCAGACATGGAACGAAATGTGGACATATTTCTTTTGTCAGATTCATGGCATGTGCCAAGCATGCTGCATTACTCGGGGCTTCTTTGATTTGGATATCAGGTGGTCAAAAATTGGTTCAATCATTGATGATAGATACAGTTCCTTCCTGGTTTTTATCAGCTAATAAGTTGGAGTATAATGGTGAACAACCTGGAGCTCTGGTTGCTAAGCTTAGCGGCCATGCACTGGCGTATTTTGTTATGCTTAGTGCGGCATTTGCATGGGGTATTGACCATTACCCAGTTCCACCAAATCAACGGGCATTGGTTATTGGGATGCATTTAGAATTCCTTGCAAGCATCCTGGAGAGGAATGAATTTCTATGTTGCCATCGTGCTACTTGGCGAACCTATGTGTCAGATTTTTTGAAGTTGATGGTGGATTGCACTCCAATGTGGGTCCAAGAAGTTGATGTGCAATTGTTGAAGAAACTGAGCCAGGGATTAAGACGATTGAATGAAGATGAGTTGGCTCTTCGCCTTTTGCAAGTTGGAGGGATAGGCGTCATGGGCGCGGCAGCTGAAATGATAATAAATTTTGAACGTAGGTTGTAAATCTATCAGAACTGAGAAATACTATACAGAGTTATACCTTTTAGAGGGATGTTAGTAATCTTTACTTTTAGAAACATCAGTGGTTTATACAACTTGCAATAAATTCCTAGTTGCATTAAACAATTATAAAGGTTTTATTTTCAAGATGGTGCGGTGGAATACTTTTCTTCCTATTTCAGTAAACTTCTGATCAAATGGCTTTTATTCGGGCAGTGTGTTTTTCGGTAATTTGTCGATATCGATATCTTTTACTGTAATTATTTGGAGTGTTATTTATACTATATGCAAACAAAAAATATATGAATATAGGAATGCTTAAATCCATGAAGCTATATGGTTGAATTGAATCTCCTTTCATTATTTTTTCTTTACAATCTTGTATGGTGTCATTTGACAGCATCAAGGACCATAGCGAGCACCAAGTGAAATTTATGGTACCCTGTTATGGATGGACTTTGCACGGGAGGTGAATGCATTCCTGCAAGATAATTTGTTCAGAGCAGTGAATGGTAAAGAATGGTCCAGAATATTTTGGATTGTTCTAAAGTATTTCTTACTTAACTATTTTATCATACAATTACCAACCTGATTTTACAAGGAAAAAAGATAAAAAGAAAACTTTTGTTCTTAAATTAATCTTATCTAACGATCTCAATTATTAAGAAAATAGAAACTTCATTCATTCTTATTCAAGGCAACTCTACTTTAGAGGAATCACCATAACGATAATGATGACAATGGTAGGCTTGTCACATTTAGTGAGTCGAAGAATAACTTACTGTTTACACGATATCTAGTACACGAGGCTAATTAAATTTTCAATCACCAAGCATGAGAAACAATCACTTAAAAACTAGCGAGTATGTTTACACAAGACAACAACCTAGTATTTGTTCTCATTATTTTGTTTAATATGTCATATTTATTGGTTTGCAGATCCACAACCGAGGGAAGTTCAAGTAATGGCAAAATTTACTAAGGATTGAGAGGGAAAGATTTTATCTGCAGCTTCGTAGCTACTGTGTTCCAAAGTGTTGTAACAAGTACTGATGTTTATCTCAAACAAAGTGCAGCTGTAAGATTTCATTTCATAACTAGACAAACCTGACATTTGCTCTAGGACAAAAACACCATTGTTCAAGAAAAACCCAGGAAATGGAAGAGCAGTATCGACTAAGCGGTACCATAACATCCCTTCTGGAGTCAAGGGTAAAACTATCTGGACGATCATGGCTAGGAACTTGCAGGATGGATCTTCTCATCTTGGTGGAGCCTTCTCAATTCCTCACCATTCAATGTTTTTTTTCTTTCAAGAAGCTCCTACTTTGAAGAAGATCACTCCGCCTTGTTCTCGACAAAGTCAAAAAGGAAATGAATTGTGTTTTTTTTTTACCAAAACCTGTTTTTAAAGCAACCCAATTGAAGGGTTGTGTTACCATATGCAGGAGAACCACCAGAGGAGTGGCCACACTCATCTCCCATCTCCCATGTTCAAAATAGGTACTCCTAATGACGCAAACAAGCCGAATAGGAAATTGTGGATTTGTTTGAGTCGTCTTTCAAGGACAACAATACTATTAGTAGGTCCTTCTTCTCCGCAATTCCAACTCAACTCAGCCTCTAGATCAGCACTGCTGAAGCTGACTAAGTCCACAATCAAAAGCAGGTTCCTTTCTCAAAAATCCAAGGTCAACAAAAAAGACAAGTAAAAAAGAATATGTTGCCCGCTTGCCTTCTATTTTTTTATTGGCCTAATTTTTCATATATACAGTTTTTACTGAAAATTTTCCAAGAGAACTTTTCACCAAGGGATTGGCATTCATCCATTTCCCAAAATCCACACTTGAGGAATCATCATTATACACACCCCAACACAACACAAATGTTTCACCTTCAACATTACTTAACTCCATGGAAGAAACCTCAATATAAACAAAATAAGTACTAGTATCTTTTTTCTTTTGTACATAAACTTTGACCCGACCTTCACCTTTTTATTCCAAAACAAATAAGGCAATGCTGATTTGATGTCTTGTGAATGTGTGAAGGAATGACTTTCTGCTCAGTTTCTTCTATAGACAACCTTGATGAAGTGGCACACAATTTTGAAGTGAGATCTATAAATATAAGAACACACTAACCTCTTGTTAAACCATTTTTGCCCCTTGCTTAAATGTTTACATTTCATGATTTAAGGGATAATACTTGTCTAAAAAATGTATTTACTAACTAATTGCCTATTTGAACCAAATGTTACAAATTTTGGTACATTTTGTTTTGCTTTGTAGCCCAGAAAGGCTGTCTGCGATAGCATATAATCCAAATGCAACCAAAACATAACTTTTTGCGTTGCCTCACTCTTCATCTTCTTCTTTCTCTCTTCCTTTTCTTCAACATTGACTACAGAGTTCCCCGAAGATTTAAAGAGATCTATGAATCGAAGTTTTTTAAGGTTGAGTTATGAAAGATATTGGATTTACAGGTAATATCGAGCTTGCAGTGAGAAATAGGATGAACAAAATGCATCCATTAATGCTTCTATGGTGTGTTTAGGTTTAATTTTATGCTTTTTTATTTTATGGGTTCAGTTTATGCCTTTGGATTTTATGGATTTCGATAAAGAATCAATTTTTTCTGCATTAACCCTTTCAAAGACGCAGGTCCAGATTTTTATGTCTTTTGCTTAAGTATGTAGTGAAAATCGTCCCTTGTATACTGGCATCGATATATATATAGCATCTGGTGAAATATATCAGCTCATATTTCAGATCGCATTCTCTATTGGCTTATATTGATATGTTTCTAATTTTAATCTCACAGGAAAACCAAAGGGCTTGTCACAATTAAGGCATTGATCCTGGTCGGGGGGTTTGGTACTAGGTTGAGACCATTGACACTCAGTGTCACTAAGCCGTTTGTTGATATTGCTAACAAACCTATGATTTTGCATCAGGTAAAGCTATTCTAAACTTTCTTTTCCTGCAACTTTTATATATCTCCTATTGAATGTTTTTCACATGTAGAAAAGTAAGATTTTATCATCATAAAATGATTCATATTTCAGGTCTTGACGTGATTCGAACTGATAGGACACTGGTTTTTTATCAGAAGAAAGAGAGTTTGTCGAAATTATGGGATATTCTCACTGTTTATGTTCGGATAGATAATGGTCAAGGTTGGTCATTAGATATGTGATCGATATGAATCTATAATGTAACCATAATTTTGAATTCATGTAAACTTATGGTTATCTTTATATAACACGACAGAAATGAGTGACCTATGCTCTCCTATGATAATACTTCTTGATGATGAAGTCAATGCCTTCTGGTGTTTCGAGCGTCTGCTGCATAGATTAGTGAGCTCTAATCTATATATGTGATTTATTTCGTTATTAATCTCTTTTTAAACATGGTTAACAATAAATCCATTAGATACATCATAGTTAACAATTGGGAACTAACTTAGATATTCAACTTTGCATAATCATCAGCAATCTTGCAGCACAAATTCTTCTATAACCAAGGAGCAGTATCTTTCAGATAGAATTGTCATGCAAGCTCTACAGGAAGCAGAGGATGTAATTGAAGTTGAGTCAAGGAAAGAGGGAAAAGTTGAACTTGGAGTGTATAAGTGAGTACAAACACATTGATTGCTGATATTATTCATGTACATGGAGCTTATGCTGTCAATTTTGTAAGTCAGCTTATGCGTATTTCAATTGTTCGTTAACAACTTAGTGCCTTATATTTTGCACTATTTAAGTGGAATCAGGAAAACTTGTACTAGACGATGCAGAATTCGACCTGGGACGTGAGCTTGAAGGGCTTGTAGATATGTTTTCTGTTCAATGCATTAACCACAATGTAGAGACTGTTTTAGACCTTGCCGGTATGATTCTCAATTTTGTTCAGTGCATCCTTGACTTTATCAAGTTTCTGATGAATTATATTTAATCAATATCTATTTTCAATGCAGATGATATGCTAAAACAGAGGTACTTTTGCAAGTATCTCTTATCCATTACACTCTTATGAATAACTATATTAAATAATCATGCGAAATTTTCTGAGTTTGAATTTTTTTCCCCTTAAAGATTCATATTTTGTTACTGACTAAATGTGGAACATTGTGGTGACTGTTGATTTTCAGCTTTTTAAGTTCATTTAATTTAATCAAATTGTAAACCAGGAATATTTCATTTAATAATAATAGTGAATTTTGTAGAGCAATAATACTTCTGTGGAAATTTGGATCGACAGCATTTCCTTGCAACCATTCACAAAAAAGCAATGGATGTCTCATCAACGTCAAAGTATCGAAAAGGTAAACATGATTGAATTGATCAAGTTCATAAATAAAGTGCATATTGAGTTTGAGTTTGATTATGTCTTGGCAGGTTTGCAAGAGGAAAGTGGCAATCCAAGCCGTTGATGAACAAGGAAATTCTTTATCAAATGCGACTATATCCGTTAGATTGAATAGAGGAGTTTGTTATGTTGTTATGTTTTAACGCGGTTTAAAATTGATTTTGTAACTGAAGAATTATGACTGATATACTTTGATGAGGCTGTTTGTGTTGTTCTTATGACTCCTATTGATCATTTGACAGTAAAATAACCTGAGCCGGATGCTCCGAAAGTTGGTTGGATGCAATTTTTCTGCAAAATTTGATGTTTGTTAGCAGGGTTTAGACATTTGAATTATTCTGGTTTAATTAGAATGAGTTTGTTGTCAAAGTAGTTTGCTACAAGTCGATGTGTATTGATTTTTGGTTCCAAGTCAACTGGTGGGTGTTGAATTAAAATAGATTAAGAGACGTTTAAGTTAAACCGTGTGTTTTTGAAAAACACTACGAAAACTTTATTATATATAGAGAGATTACAACTAATGCTACGATATAGCCGATGTGAGACTATTCTATGTACGAATATTTTTAACAATATATATATATATATATATATATATATATATATATATATATATATATATATATATATATATATATATATATATATATATATATATATATATATATATATATATATCATTCCTCGTAAAGCTAGAGCATATAAGTCAAATGCACCAAGCTTATCACATATATAATTAGTTTTGGGACTTTGTAGAGATTTTGCAAACACATTTGTCAATTGATCATTAAAGCTGACCAAGCTTGTGACGATGTCGCCAGATTCAATCTTCTCTCTGACAAAGTGACAGTCTATCTCAATATGTTTGGTCATCTCATGGAAGACTTGATTTGAAGCAATGTGTAATGCAACTTGATTATCACATACAAGTGTCGTTGGTCTTGCTTTTTCAATTTGAAGTTCTATGAGCAATTGTTTTAATCAAATCAGTTCACATGCCATTGCCATGACCCTATACTCTGCCTCGTCGCTTGATCTTGCAACCTCATTTTGTTTCTTACTCTTCCAAGATATAAGGTTTCTTCCAACAAGTACACAATACCCAGAGGTAGATCGTCTATTAATTGGCGATCCTGTCCAATCAACATCAGAGTATCCAACTATCTGAGTATGTCCTTTATCTTCATACACTAAACCTTTTTCTGGAGCACATTTGATGTATCTCAGAATCTGGATAACAACATCCATGTATTCCTGACAAGGGGAATTTAAGAACTGACTTGCCACACTGACTGTAAAAGGAATGCATGGACGAGTGACTGTGAGATAACTCAACTTTCCAACCAATCTCCTATACCTTCCCGAGTCAGATAAAGGCCTCCCCTGATTGGATAGTAGTTTGACACTTGGATCTATAAGAGTATCATCTGGTTTAGCGTTCAACAAACCTGTTTCTTCCAAAATATCCATAACATATTTCCGCTGAGAAATCACCAAATCATCTTTAGATTGGGCTACCTCAATACCCAAGAAATATCGGAGTTTACCAAGATCTTTTGTCTGAAATTGATTCGAGAGATGTTGTTTCAACTGGAATATTCCCTACTCATCACTACCAGTTATGACAATATCATCTAATACACAATAAGATAAATACATCCTTGGGCTGAGTGACGATAAAAGACATAATGATCAGCTTCACTACGGACCATACCAAATTGTTGTACAACAGTGCTGAATCTGCCAAACCAAGCTCTCAGAGATTGCTTAAGACTATAAAGAGACCTGTGTAGCCTACAAACCATATTCGATGACTCTCCCTGAACAACAAACCTAGGTGGTTGCTCCATATATACTTCCTCTTCAATATCACCATGTAAAAATACATTTTTGATGTCAAGCTGATGAAAAGGCCAATGTCAAATGGCTACAATGGCTAGAAGAAGTCTAACAGATGCCATCTTGTCTACAGGCGAGAAGGTACCACTATAATCCAACCAAAAAATCTGAGTGTATCATTTGACTACCAAGCGAGCTTTAAATTGATCAATCTTACAATCTGGACCAATTTTCACTGTGTAAAGTCAACGACAACCTACTAAAGATTTCCCATGGGGTAGAGGAACCAGTTCCCAAGTACCACTGTTTTGAAGAGCACACATTTCATCAATCATTGCTTGCCTCCACTCAAGGTGAGATAATGCTTCACTTGGAGTGTTAGGAATAGAAACAGAAGACAAAGAAGCAAACAAGTATACTACAAAGGGGAAAGACGATGATAACATAAATCAATATAATATGGAGAAAGACTTCGTGTTTGACATATACCTTTTCGAAGGGCAATCAGGAAATCAGACTCAGGTTGCAAGATCAGATCTGGTGATGGCGAGAGCGCCGAAGAAGAGTCTGTAATGACCTTAGGGACATGTTCGATCTCAGGAACATGTAGGACCTCAGGGGCAAGTACGACAGGCGTTGGTTGACGACGCTAATATGTTTGAAGTGGAAGAGAAGTCGGGTTAACCGTAAGGTTATTTAGTGGGCCAGGTTCCCTAGAATGATGGGGGATAATGACAATGGGACTTCCGAAAGAGGTGTGAGAGTACTCTCCTGAAGGGGTTCCGAAGTTACTTGGCTGGACTTGAAATATGGAACAAACTCGAAGAAGGTGACATTTGCTGATATGAGGTATCATTGTAGAATATGTGAATAGCAACGATAATCTTTTTGGGGTCGATGATAACCAAGAAAAATACACTTTAGTGATCGAGATGATAGTTTATCAAAACTAGGAGAGAGATTGTGTACAAAACATGTAGACCTGAAGACTCAGGAAGGAATTGGGTGAAGGGGCGAATGGGGAAAGAGGATTGAATGAGGGATTTTATTCTTAAGGACATATGATGGCATGCGATTTATAAGGTAACATGCCTTTAGCACAACGTCTCCCCAAACCCGAAGTGAAACATTACCATTGAGAAGTAGGGTTTGAGTGGTTTCTACAAGATGTCGATTTTTACGTTCGACTACCCCGTTTTGTTGAGGTGTATGGGGGCAAGATATTTGGTGGAGAATACCATTATTGGACATAAAAGTTTGAAATTGTTGTGATAAATATTCACGAGCATTATCACTTCTTAAGGTATGAATAGACACACCAAACTGAATTTTTATTTCTTTATAAAATTTTTCAAAAATAGAAAATGATTTTTGTTTATTTTTCATTAAAAATAACCACGTGCAACATGAAAAATCATCAATAAAGGTGACAAAATACCTAGACTCAAGAGTAGAGATAGTACGCGAGGGACCCCAAACATCAGAGTGAACTAAAGCAAAAGGAGACGAAGCTCGTTTATTGACTCGATTGGGAAATTAACTATGAGTTGTTTCCCTAACTGACACGACTCACAAAGTAAATTAGATACTTTCGATAAACTTGACACCAACTTCTGTAATTTGGGAAGACTAGGGTGACCTAACTGAGCATGGATTGTGAGTGGAGAATCTTTAGCTAAGCATGTCTGAGATGACACTAGGAGGTAATAAATGCCTTGAGACTCATATCCGATGCCAATTATCTGTCCCAAACTCTGATTCTGCAATGTGACATTACTAGAAGGTGACAATACAATCAAGAGAACAAGTTAAACGACTGAGTGAAAGTAGATTAAATAGACAATTAGGTACATATAGTACATAAGTAACAGAGAGAGAAGTTAGAATTTGAACAGTACCAATTCCTTCAGATCGGGTTTGAGAACCATTGGCAGAAGTTATAGTAGGTAAGAAACCAGAGGTAGAGAGGTAAGAGAATTTTTTTATTACTAGTAACATGATCAGACGCACCAGAATCAAGGACCCAAGGTCCAAGAGAAGATGATTGAGAGAAGAAAACAGATAAATTACCAATGTGTGCAACCGAAATAGTAGAATTTGAGTTCTGATAATTCTGACACCACTTGAGGAAATCCTTGAGGAAATCATCGTAGTTTGGCATAAAGTTCAGAGGACTAACCATGAGTATCGAATTTGGAAAAGTTGCACGGTGGCGAGTGCGGCGGTGGAAAAATCGTCGGGATTGACCGGATCGAATAAGGCGCTTTTGCCGGTAGGGTTAGTTTGCCGGAAGGTCGCCAAAATTAGTAGTGGCGGATGTCGGCAGCAGTCCGGTGGTTACTGGAGAATTTTGGAAAGTGAGAGGCAAACCGGAGTGATGACACAGTATGAAAAAATAAAAAAAAATAAAAAATAAAAAATTTGTCACCTGAAGACAGTGGGTCAACCGGGTAAAGCACAACGAAAAATTATCTCTTAGTAGGCTCTAGATACCATGTTGAATTAAAAGAGGCTAAGAGACATTTAGGTTAAGCCATGTGTTTTTAAAAAGCACTACGGAGACTTTATTATATATAGAGAGATTATAACTAATGCTATGATATAGTCGATGTGGGACTATTCTACATACAAATATTCTTAACACTATATATATATATATATATATATATATATATATATATATATATATATATATATATATATATATATATATATAATGTGTATGCTTTGTCATTCTCCAAGTCAATTATTGATATAATTGTTAGTTAGTTAATTCTTGTTAAGATGTTATTTGGGCTTTTAGAATTTTTGGGTCTGAGCTATTGTGCCTATATAAAAGGCCATTGTATTGGTAATGAACAAGCAAGTAGTTGCAACAATAATAACAGATTCAGTTAGAAGTTAGTTACATCAACTAACTCAAAATCATTCTCTCTTCTTCTTCTTCTTCTTCTTCTTGTTGTTGTTGTTTTTCACATATTCATCTTTCTTGAATCCTTTGTTCCAAAAAATTGGTATCAGAGCCTGGTTGCGATTCAGAGAGATTCTAATGGCAAACGGATCAACAACATTAACATAATTTCCAGCAAATTTACCAGTTTTCAAAGGTGAAAACTATCAAAGATGGGTGGCACAAATGAAGTTTATTTTCAGATTTCAAGATGTTGTAGAAATCTTGAATGAAGGAATTTCAGAACTAGAGGTAGATGCAACGGAAGCCCAGAAAGCTAAGCACATAGATCAGAGGAAGAAATATGGCAAGGCGATGTTCT